AAACAATGAAAATGGTAATCCATGTTATTTAGATTTTAAAACCTATGATTGCATAGTTGGAAAAGTAATTTCAAAATACTGTGTAAGAAAACCCATTTGAATAGCCTAATTAGCAAACAGCATATTTGATGTATTCCAGTAACACACATCCAAACACACACACACACTATCTTAAAGAAACCTCAGGCAGAAATCAGAGATTTTGTAATGTGTTCTGCAGTAAACAGTTCTGTTCTCTTTCCCTCTCGTTTGCTATACCAATGTGGTTTGCTTTAACTTTCAATCACATGTTGTTATGTTCATGGAAAGAAATATGAAAGCTGTTTACATGCTTCTTTTTGCCCTCACTGAAATGGACCCATATTACTTGTTGTAGTTCCCTTTATTTAGCTTTCCCAATTGTAATTATTCTATAAAGATTGTGAAACACTTTCCATGTATTTCTTGTTGTGATTTATCATCAAGTTAACTTCAACTTAACGTGACCCTACAAATGAAAGTCCCCCAAGCCCTCTGGGTTACTAACACTCCTATTTACCCTTTTTTCTGTAGTCTAAACTTCAACATAGCAGAATGTACTGCCTCATTTTAACATGTGGAAAACTTCTTCAGGGATAAGACAAGTCAGCCCATGAAAGGAAATGGGGCACACTTGCTGTTAAAACTCTCCAAAGTGACTAATACGCAAGTGGTTGGAACCATAAGTTAGCACAGTGTAGTAGTTTAAACATTGGATTACAGCTCTGGAGACCAGGGTTTGAACCTGTGCTAGGCCATGGAAAGTCACTAGATGACACTGGGCAAGTCACACATTCTTAGCTTCAGAGGAAGGAAAATGCGCCCCGCCCCCGAACAAATCTTAGCAGTGCTAGGTTCACCTTAGTGTCACTGTAAGCTGGAAATGACTTGAAGGCACACAACAATAATTACCACAAAACAACATATGACTCAAGCAAATAATAATAAAATCACCTGAAAACTTATTCACTACAAACATTAGACTCAAAGTGCCAGGCAAGAAATTCTCTGTCTCTGGAACTTTCTAGAGAAGTGGTTCTCAACCTGTGGGTCCCCAGATGTTTTGGCCTTCAACTTCCAGAAAACCTAACAGCTGGAAAACTGGCTGGGATTTCTGTAAATTGTAGGCCAAAATGCCTGGGGACCCACAGGTTGAGAACCACTGTTCTAGGTGCTCCATGAACTTCCAGAAGTTCTCTCAAATGGAGAAAAAACAAATCAAAACTGAAATGTTGGAAAGTCCACTTTTGGTTTTGAAAAATAAGTGTTTATTCATATTCAAAAATGCTGGAAGAAGAAAAACTTAGTTAAAATGTGAGCCCTTGTTTCTGGAGAAGCAATTCCACCTTTTTGCTAGAAAAAGAAAGGTAATCCCGGGGAAATCTAGAGGATTAGAAGGTTGCAAAAGCAGCCTTGAGAGACCCCATGTGGCCCCAGGATTGTGTTCTGCCCATGTTGCATTAGACATAACATAATTACTAAGCAACCAGCTGTAGAAGTGATACAAGATAATTAGAATGGACTAAAAAGCCATTAGCCTAGATACACTGTCATGCAGATGCTACAACACAGTGTTCTACCCCTTCTCTTGCCACTTTTAACCTTCAAGTCCACTTAGAAAGACTAAGATCTGGAGGGCTGTCTAGTTTTTCTAAGCATCTTTTGCTGAGGACACAGAAGGGAAAGGTTGCTGTGGCAGAAGCAGTTCCAGCAGTGGGTGATCAGATGTATTCTGCTCCCAAAAGTACCTTTGCTAAACCAGCAGTGAATCCCAAGCCATTTGTCTGCTTAAAGCAGAGCTCACACAATGCTACCTTTCTTGAATTACACGGAAACCATTTCCAATCTTCAAGAAGGGAAAAAAGGATGACCCAAACAACTACCGTCCGGTCAGCCTCACGTCAATACCGGGCAAGATTCTGGAAAAGATTGTTAAGGAAGCGGTCTGCAAACACTTAGAAACAAATGCAGTCATCGCTAATAGTCAACATGGATTTATCAAAAACAAGTCATGCCAGACTAATCTGATCTCTTTCTTCGATAGAGCTACAAGCTGGGTAGATGCGGGGAATGCCGTGGATGTAGCGTACCTGGATTTCAGTAAGGCCTTCGACAAGGTCCCCCATGACCTTCTGGCAAGGAAACTAGTCCAATGTGGGCTAGGCAAAACTACGGTGAGGTGGATCTGTAATTGGTTAAGTGGACAAACAGAGTGCTCACTAATGCTTCCTCTTTATCTTGGAAAGAAGTGACAAGTGGAGTGCCGCAGGGTTCCGTCCTGGGCCCGGTCCTGTTCAACATCTTTATTAATGACTTAGATGAAGGGCTAGAAGGCATGATCATCAAGTTTGCAGACGACACCAAATTGGGAGGGATAGCCAATACTCCAGAGGACAGGAGCAGGATTCAAAACGATCTTGACAGATTAGAGAGATGGGCCAAAACTAACAAAATGAAGTTCAACAGTGACAAATGCAAGATACTCCACTTTTGCAGAAAAAATGAAATGCAAAGATACAGAATGGGGGACGCCTGGCTCGAGAGCAGTACGTGTGAAAAAGATCTTGGAGTCCTCGTGGACAACAAGTTAAACATGAGCCAACAATGTGATGTGGCGGCAAAAAAAGCCAATGGGATTTTGGCCTGCATCAATAGGAGCATAGTGTCTAGATCTAAGGAAGGAATGCTACCCCTCTATTCTGCTTTGGTTAGACCACATCTGGAATATTGTGTCCAATTCTGGGCACCACAATTCAAGAGAGATATTGACAAGCTGGAATGTGTCCAGAGGAGGGTGACTAAAATGATCAAGGGTCTGGAGAACAAGCCCTATGAGGAGCGGCTTAAGGAGCTGGGCATGTTTAGCCCAAAGAAGAGAAGGCTGAGAGGAGATATGATAGCCATGTATAAATATGTGAGAGGAAGCCACAGGGAGGAGGGAGCAAGCTTGTTTTCTGCTTCCTTGGAGACTAGGACGCGGAACAATGGCTTCAAATTACAAGAGAGGAGATTCCATCTGAACATTAGGAAGAACTTCCTGACTGTGAGAGCCGTTCAGCAGTGGAACTCTCTGCCCCGGAGTGTGGTGGAGGCTCCTTCTTTGGAAGCTTTTAAGCAGAGGCTGGATGGCCATTTGTCAGGGGTAGTTTGAATGCAATATTCCTGCTTCTTGGCAGGGGGTTGGACTGGATGGCCCATGAGGTCTCTTCCAACTCTTTGATTCTATGATTCTATGATTCTATGATCCTGCTTTCATCTTTTCCCAATCTCCTTATGACCCCAGAGGTTGCCTGCAGCAACCCTAGACCTTTGCTAGAAACATTGCTGAAAGGACTAAGGGGAATTACATGTGCACTGTGACGTCCCTTCTTTCCCAGAAAGCTTTTAAATATAAAGGATTTGACTTTCCTTTTAAAAACAAAACAAAACAAGAAATCCACAAACATTCCATACACTTATAAGAAAAGAAAGCAAACGAACAGGATTGGCACATGTGGTATGCAAAAAGCTAGGCCATAATTTCAATAAGGCATATTGGATTACTCTATTCAAGGGTTTCTCGTGCTATATAAGTTTATGCATGAGACACAGGCACTAGGCTCCAATGGGTTTTATAGTTTCATAATGTCTGCACATAACATATATTTCCAGTGTGACTTACAAACTTCTGAATGCACACAAATGTCATCTAAAATGTGCTGGTGGAAATTAGATGTAAAAAGATAATTGTATGAAGACAAGGTTGGGCAACTGCAGAGGAGAATCCCTTTTACAGTGCACTGGTGCAACCAGGAGAAATATCACATAATTTCCCAGTTGACTCAAATAAGGCCATTTTGGAGATTGAGGTGAGCAAATCACTCCCAGAATTTGCTTGTATTTTTCAACCAAATTCTGGACTCCAAACAATTACATTTTTGAGGGAATCTGGAGGCATCAAGGGCCTTCTGGGAGGCATATATTGTCCATGGGCTGCATTTTCCCCACCTTTGGACTAAGCCCTTGTGCTGCAATAATAATAATAACAACAACAACAACAACAACAACAACAACTACTACTACTACTACTACTACTACTACTACTTTATTTTTTTTGACCACCACCACCACAACAACAACAACTGTATTTTTATCCCCCGCCACCTTTTTTCCAATGGGACTCAGGGCGGCTTACATGGAGACTAAGCCCAGAGCATACAACAAATTCTAGCAGCTAAAACACAGTTAATAACATAAAAGCAAATAATATAACAATCCAATTAAAACAATTGAAAAGAGCAGAGTCTAAAAACATCGTAAAAATGTATCAAATCAACCTCAACAACGAGTAACCAGGAATATGGTGGGCTTGATCAGATTAGAGGAGGGCAGGGCATGGGCTTGTGCAAAAAGCAAACTATAGGGCCGGGGATAAAGTGCTGAATACAATCTTACCAGTAAATTAGGTCTGGGCAAGGAGCAAGTATGCAGTAGATACATTAGAAAGCAAACATAAATGTCTGAAAAGATGGCATTACAAAACAATATATAATGACAAAACAGAGAAAGCCTCAGATATTTAATTTCTCAAGTTTTAGAAGCTGTGACATAGTAAATAAACACAATCTAGGATCAAACAAATTTGGAAAAAGAGGGCCAGTGGTACTACTACATATGGATGGGGAAAATTAATCTCATGGTCAAAATGGATGTATGAACAGCATGTATAGAACTTTAGACTGGAAAAATTAGTTCTCACCCTACTTACTCCTATCACAACATAAAGGAGCCTAGTAAAGGGTAAAAAATACATTGAATTGTGAATTATATATAAATAATTAGAAAACTGTTTGAAAATACTAATGCCATTGGAGTTTTGCTGTTTTCCCTTAAATTGTTCTTTATGGGATGACCTGTGACAGCTATGCATTAAGAATGAACAAAAATGAAATTGAATTTCTAGGCAGTATTGAATATTTTATGTCAGTTTGAATGATGCTTACCCTGTATTGATGGAAATTATTTCTATCAGTGGGTTCTTTCTAATCTTTGGCAAATCCAATCGAGCTCCCCCCAACCGTTTTCCATTATCCTTTTTCTGACCCAGCAATCTGACAGAGTGACCTTCAAATGAAGAAAAAAAAAGCACAATTACACATAAAACATTCTGCATTTTCTAAAACAAAATAGACCCCAATCTGCCATTCCGCACTCACTTACTGAAGTGCAAGTTCCACTAAACTCAACAGGAGCACTTCAGAGTTGATATATGTGGGATTCCAGTGTAATGTTTTACATTATACATTTTCTTTTGTTAACAAACCACTAATCAAGCAAAGAAAAATCCAAATAGCAAAATGAGTTCTTAAAAACAAAGTCCCTTCTGTTTTATTTTCTTAAGCTGTTTGATGTAAGCAGGCCAATCAATTCAAAAAGTCAAGTTCTTAAGCAAAAGCTTTCTGATTATAATTACAGCTGAAATAATTCTACAGAGTTGATTTTTTTACTTAAAAAATTAAGACTGCAGAACTGAAGATGGGTGGCAGTTTGTTTGCTGGTGTCAATTTGGGCAAGAATGTCCACAAAGCACTGCAAAAAGACTCAGAGAAAGGAGCATTTCCACAATTTAGCTCAACGTGTGCTTCCTACATCCCAGTGGCACATTGCCGCTTTTGTGTTTATAAGGTTCCATCTGTAGTTCCATTGAATTCATTCATCAATCACTCACTTTCTTATGGACTTCCAAATACTCAGACCTCAAAACATACAATGCTCATAAAGCCCCATTACCATAATGCTATAAATTCCAGGTCACCAGATTCAACATAATCAATATCAAAGTAGCATTGTCTTTTTTTCAGAGTAGAACTCAATGGAATGTGATTGCTTTGTCCAATAAGGCAATGGAAATGGGAAGGTCCATGATCAAAATACAGTTAATTAAAATGTGTGTTAAGAATAATAGAATCAAAGAGTTGGAAGAGACCTCATGGGCCATCCAGTCCAACCCCCTGCCAAGAAGCAGGAATAAGAAAGTGTGTTCACTTAGTTGCAAAACAAACAAAGGTAAAATTCATCATTTGAGGTGTGGCTGTTTCACTTTAATTACTGGCCAAAACTAGTAATATGGTTATAAGCTCAGAGCAGAAAATTATCACGATAGATAGCAACTGTTATTTCTAGCTGCATATGGATAAAACTAGTTACTTTAACTTCAGAACATCTTAAATAATGGCTCACAATCAATTTCAGATCCTGGCTTATTCCACAGCATTCTAAAGGAGATAAAGGTCTATGTGTCAGCTTGCTCATATTCTGATTTCTAAAGCAAAAATAGGTTTACTAGATCCCAGCCCTGTCTATAAAACAATCCTGTTTTAAGTATGTCTTGCTTTTTTGGCAGTAGAAGAGGCTGTAACATCAAGATCAATCAAGTTCTAATTGTACTTCTTGGGTTTCCTTTAAGCATGTCCGTTGCCTCTTTAGACCGTGAGCTGTTGAAATATTTTTGAAACGTAACTATTTCTTTTATTCAGTGTTTTCCAAGCACAGCCTTAAATTACATAGCCAAACAGCAACATGGAGGACTGTTTATAATGCACGTTTTATGGGGGCTTTTCTATGTGGCAACTTGTTCATGCACAGTCATTCCCATTGCTACCATACAAAAACCAGTTTATGATTATATGGTGAAAATCAGAAATGATGCATGATGAGCTCTTTCCCATGGAAGAACTTCACATGAAACCACAATATAATTGCCATATAAAAGGCCATGATAGGAATGCCTACATCTCAGTGGCAGAGCACATTTTTGGCATGAAGCATGTCCCAGAGTCATCTTTTTCAGCACTTTGCAGATACAGAACTAAAATATTGAATTTATTCTACAGCAATTTTCACCTAAATCCTATTGAAATAAACGTGAAGCTTCACTCATGACTAATTTATGTGTCGATTTGATTAACTTAATTGTCTTTTCCAAAAATTGAGAACTAAGGAACTTGGAATGATGGTGTCCAAAGGGTAAGATAATAAAATGTCTCTGGGTAACACTGTGTATCTGATTTGAGGTTATGGTATCACTAATATTCCTTTGTCTCTGCTACAGAAAGACATAAATTTCACATTCGTTGTTTACAATCTATTTCTTACTATCAATTTTATATAGCTATAATGAAAAATACCCTAAGGGCATCAGATTCTACTTGATCTTGGAAGCTAAGCAGGGTCAGCTCTAGTTAGCATTTCAATGAAATACTGCCAATGAATATCAGGTTGTTGTTTAGAAGTCAGAGCTCCCTGTTGGCCGTCACCACCCCCAGTTCCTTCAGAGTCAAGCCAGTCACTTCGAGGATAGCATCCATCCATCTTGCCCTTGGTCAGCCCCTCTTCCTTTTTCCTTCCATTTTCCCAAGCATCATTGTCTTCTCTAAGCTTTCCTGTCTTCTCATGATGTAGCCAAAGCATTTCATCTTTGCCTCTAATATCCTTCCCTCCAATGAGCAGTCGGGCTTTATTTCCTGGAGGATGAATATCAAGTGCTACAGGCTATATTTCAGAGGAAGGTATGGCAATACCACCTCAAAGTATTCAATCTTGTACCAAATCTGATTGTTATTCTCAACTAGAATACACCCACAACTTACTATAACAATACTTATGCAACTTCCATTGTTTTAGTTGATCAATATAATTGGACTGAAGAACTGGATTCAGGCTCTTTTCTTTTCAGAAGAACCAGTTATTAAATGTGAAAGTGTAAGGCCCTGAAGTTCAAACACCAACATGTCAGCAAACATGTCAAGCCACAAAGAATTTATGAACCAGGAACTCATTTTCAAAGAACATTAAAAATAAATCCTTCCTTACTAACCATGTGCAACAGATGTATATTTTAAGGAAGAAAGAAAGGGAGGAAAGCAGAACGAAACACATATAAGTGAATTGGCTGATCATGCAATAGATAAGATTGAGTTCAACACAAAGCCATCAAGTTTAACAACTTTCTCCTCTTTCAAATTAGCCAATTAAATACAGTATATAACTGACGAATGCTGTGAAATATGGTTTTGTTGTTATTGTTAGCAGCCATCAAGTCTTCAACTTACAGTGACCCTATGAATAAGAGATTTTCAAGTCACAGCCCAGCTCAAATCTTGCTGACCCAGGATTACGACTCTTTTGGTTGTGTCTATTAATCTGAAGTGCAGTCTTCTTTTCCTGTTGTCCTCTACCTTTCCAAGCATGACTGTACTTTCTTATGATATGGCCAAAGTACAACAGCCTCTGTTTAATCATCTTGGCTTCTAGGGAGAATTCAGCTTCATTTGCTCTATGAGCCATTTACTAGTCTTTTAGCAGTTCATGGTATCAGTAGAATTTTTCTGTAGCACCACATTTAAAATGAGTTTATTTTCTTCACTGTTCAGCTTCCATAGAATGATGAAATACAATGGAATTCAGTGATATATCTTTAAACTTTAGGATATTGCCTAGTTCATTCATAGCTGCCATTCTAAGTCCTAGTCTTCTTCTGATTTCTTCAACATAGTCTTCATTCTGATTAATTATTGAACCAAGTACAGACAGTCCTCAAGTTATGAAAAGGGTTTGTTCTTAAGTTGAATTTGTATGTAAGTCTGAACAAGTACATTTTTAAATGTAACTCCAGCCAATTTTTAATATTTTTTTAAAGTTTTGGATAGCAAAGGGAAGGATTAACACCCCTACACAGTTTGTTTAGCTGCCTGTGCCCTGTTCAGAAGATTTCACCTCACTTTCTATCCATGTGATAATTAGATTTTGAAAAATTTAGCTTGTTGTAAAAACAAGGATTGACGAGAAAGCTTCAGTGGAGATACCATTACCCCATGATAACTCTTTCAAGAGTGAATTTCCCTTCCTATGGGTCGATTTCTCTCACTTCCTGTTGTCTCACTTTCATTCTTAACTATGAATCATTTGTAAGTCAGATATTTGTAACTCGGAACTGCCTGCATAGAAAATATTGATCTATTTCAATGTCTTCATCATCTTTTTTAAAGTTATGGAAATCATCTGTGGTCATTAATTCCGTTGTCTTATGCTAAGCTGCAGACCTGCTGTTGCACTTTCTTCTTGGATTTCCTGCAATATTCGTTTCAAGTCTTTGTTATATTCTCATCATCATCATCAGCATCATCATATTTAATTACTTTTTAATTGCCCTCCATCCGAGAATGCTCTAGGCGATTTACAGCTAAATTGTAAAAGATAAAATACATACATACAGAATTAAAAAATTAACAGAGATCGAATGCTCTAGTAAAAAGCCAGGTCTTAAGTGCTACAGTAAAAGGCCCTAAGTCATGCATGGCTCTCATATAGGGCGGCAAGGAATTCCAAAAGGCAGGGGCAGAAATAGAAAAAGACCTGCGTCTGGTACTTTCCAAGTGCACTTCTCTAGGACCTGGTATATAGAGTAAGTTGCGTTGGGCTGGTCGTTGCGACCTCCAATGATGGGAGAAGGAGAGGTGGTCCCTAAGGTATGATGGACCCTGGCCGTAAAGAATTTTAAAGGTCAGAACTAACATCTTATACAGGCCACGGTACTCAATTGGAAGCCAATGTAAATGTTGCAGCACTGGTGTTATATGGCATTTCATGGGCGTTCTTGTGAGTAGCCTGGCTGCCGCATTCTAAAGAATACGGAGCTTTCGGGTCGTAGACATCGGAAGGCCAACATACAGGGCGTTGCAATAGTCCAGCCTAGACGTGACCGTGGCATGGATGACAGTTGCCAGAGCCTCGTCAGATAGGTAGGGTGCCAGTTACCTCGCTTGTCGTAGATGGAAAAAGGCCTGTTTGCTGGCAGCAGTGACCTGAGGTTCCATTGTCAGCTGCGAATCCAGGATGACACCTAAGCTCTTAACAGTGGTCGATGGAGATAGGGCAGCACCATCGAAGGTGAGTAACAGATGAATCGGACCTGCCGGGCGGCCATGCCAGAGAATCTCAGTCTTCGCCAGGTTCACCTTCAGTCTGCTAGCACGTAGCCAGTTCGACAGAGCTTCCAGACATAGGGTGAAATTGTCTGGAATTGACGTTGCTCCAGGCTCCAGGCGTAGAAGGAGTTGGGTATC